ATGGCAGAAACACCCACCACTTAGCAACGTATCAATGTTATTGAGATTAGGATGGCATAAAATAATGATAAACACACAATACTAAGTGCCACCTTCGATTGCAGGCTCCCAAATATCCTTTGCATTATATCACCTGCTATGCATAGTGACTTCATGGTTGACTTACAACTGTTTAGATTTAAGATATATGCATGAAAATATTTTGTTGTTTCTCAGGCCCAAAATGGTGGTGTGATTAAAAGCTAATGCCTGAAGCATTCGCTGGATAAGAGTAGACCCTTATTTCTAGTCTTGTCAAACCAAATAACCTTTTTAAAAAAATCCATACTCTGCATTATGATAAATCTCTCTGGCATATCTGAGCAAGACTGAGCCAAGTGACTGATTCCAAATGTAACACATGATAGAAATCCCTGTAAAGTAGGATTCAGTATTTTATCAAATAATTTAATCTGGGTGAAAGAAAGCCCTTGTCCCTTTCAATTTAACAATAATTAGAAAGGCATCTGTTAGGAGTAGTGTACTTCGGTGGTGGATATTTGACCCTAAAAAAATAATTAGAGAAACAGGCAGAGATTTATATACAGGATGTTCATCTCAGTGTTACTTACAGTAGCAAAATTAAAAAACAAAATGTCCAACAGTATGGTATAAGTTTAATAAAGTTCAGCCATATTACGGAATTCTATGCAGCCATTAAAATCTTTAATAGCAATATTAATTGACATGAGAAAATGCTCATGGGAAATGCTTAATGAGAAAAAAATGGTTACCAAACAGAATGTTTACTATGATACTCAATTTCAGAAAAAGAAAGTTTATAAACATTGTATATACATTGTTAATATCTCCTGCCAAAGACCACTAGGACCACACCAGTCCTTGATCAAGCCGGGTTTATTTCTGGTTGCAGCAAGGGACAACACACACCACAGAGAACTAAGGGGCGTCTCAATAAGAGGCTGTTAGAAAGGACTTATCATAGGATTTGGGCTTGTATTAAGTGATTTGGAGAAAGGTTGAAGTCAGCAGGGGGCTTGCTCTGAATTGTATGCCATCAGGAAGCAGGGATAGTTTTATGATTGGATGTCTTAATGAATCTTTATCTAGAGAGAGAGAAAACTAGAACAAGGCTAAAGGTGTAATTTGTTTTAAAAAGACCACAATTGCTACTCACGTTAGCCAGGGTAAGGACATGTTTAGTCATTTTTGTGATTCGGACAAGGTTCATGTTTTCTCTGTGCTCAGACATGATTATGGAGTGGTCCTAATTTTGTCTTAATCCATCAAAGTTAAAGAACGCTCTTATCTGACATTAATGTTTTGGGAAATGGTTTATGTTCAACAAGAGAACACCAAAGCTTGGTTATGAGTGCCAGGCCAGCTCCTAGCAACACCAAGGCCCTGTCGATAATACCAGGCCAGCTCCTGGATGTCAGGGACTGATTTTCTTTTCACACACACACATATAGAAAAGACTAGAATTATTAAAAATATCATTTATCAAATGCTTGTGATATTTCAGGCACTGTTTTAAGCACTTTACATCTAATCTATTTAATCCTCACAGCAACTCTATGGGTTCAGAATTATTATCATTCCCATTTTCCAGAAGAGAAAAATTGTGGCATAAAGAGGTAAATTTATTCACCCAATGCATTGTAGCTAGTAAGTGGTGGAGAAAGGATTCAACGCAGTGGCTACAGAACCAATAGCTTTAATCTCTATATTATATCATCTACATGTACAGTTAATTATCAACAGAGGTTACCTTGAAAGTTAGTGGGTGTGCACAGATACAGGTGTTTTTGCTTCCTTCTTTTTCTTGTTCTTATTTTCTAAATTGTCTAAAATTAATACGTATTAATTTTTAATCAGAAAAAATAATAATTTGCGAGCATACTGATGGAAGGTCTGTTCACAAGGTCACTGTCACAAATGCAAACCCAAGTCTTTGGTGGTGGCAATGCTCTCCTGAACATCTGAATCAAAAGAGAAGAAAAATCGGGAGGAGGCAACACTATCCCTCCCTCGCTCCCTCCCTCCAACTCAATTTAGACAACACTAACTAGTTTAGACAACATTAACTAGATCGCCCGCAGTAAAAGGTGGTCCAATATCCGTTCTCGGGCAGTTTCTGTCTCTGAACTGAAAGAGGCAGGGCGGAAGTTCCCCGAGAGTATACATAAGGACAATTAGGAATAGAGTTGGGAGGATTAGAGGAAAATGCCTTGGTCTCAAAGGAAAGGCCTTTTCCGTGTGGGAGGACAGCGCTCCCGCCCCCACCAGCTGAGCAATGCAGGGTTTCTCCCGCTCTAAGATTCAGCCCAGGCGCTGAGAGAGGGCACTCTGCTCTTCAGCCTGCCTGAGAGCTGACATTAAAAGGCTGGAAATTCTAGGGACGAGGGTGAACCAAAGTTGGGAGGGAACCATTTGAGGGTCAAATACTTCATGATGAAAAGAACTTCGCCAAAACGTTAAAGGCGCCGAAGAGACCCGTCGGCTGGTTTTCTTTCTCTTACTTTTGTCCCTGCGCTAGCATCAGGACACACGAAACGTCTCTGTTCGTTCCCTGTGCAGAGACTGATTTTAGGCCTCCTGAGAGGTGCCCACCCACTAGATGCCGCTGGCTTAGTCTCAAAGAGCCGGGTTCCCAGTATTTCCCACAGCCACCCCCCTCCCCGCCCTTCCGTCTTTCCGTCTGCCCGGGCTAAGAGCCACGCAGGGCATCCACCCTGTCATTTAGCACCTCGGCTGCGCAATGGTGGGTGGTTTCCCAAAGCGCGTGCCCTCGCAGCCACTTGCGCTCGCCTCGCCGCTTGCAGGGGCACAAGTCAATGAGGCTTTTCCCTCCGCGATCATCGTGAATCAGCAAAGCGCTGCAGAGCAGCGGCGTCTCCGCGAGCAGAAATTAAGATGCTGGGGGAAGGGCACGAGTGGAGTGTGGCAGGGGAATTTCTAGCCCCTTCAAATGTGTCCCTCCCGGGGATGGCAATACTGAGGGAGAAGGGTAGGCTGGAAGCCGCTAGACTTAAGCGTCCTGGGGAGCCTTTGGAAACAGAGAGCCGGGTGGGGGAAGAGCGAGGATGAGCAGAGAACTCCTCCGAGAGACGGGTGGAAGGACCTAAGGAGCGCAGGCAGAGCAGGCAGGTGCGCCAACGGGGTGGGCAGCGCAGCAGGTGCAGATGTTGCCGAGGGACGGCATAGGAAGGAGGGTCTGGTATGGAGGAAGGGAGGAGAAGATTTTTAAAAAGAAGGATTTCCCAGCCCGTGACTTCCTTTTTCCAACGTGCAAGTTCCCAAGTTCAGTTTGAGAAGTGGAGGGCTGCTTAGCGTAGGGGAGTCTGGAATGGGAACGTTAGGGAAATGCCTCCCTGAGGCGCGTTCTCCCACCCGTTCCTCCCTCTCTCTCCCCCTGTCTCACTCCCTCGCGCTCTCTCTCTCCCTCTCTGCCTCTGTTCCTCCTCTTCTTCTTCCTCCTCCTCCTGTCCCTATTTCGCCTTCCTTCAGCTTTGATTAATATGCAAGTCCATGCTCAGTAGTGCGGTCCACCGCCTCCCGCTCGACCCTTGGCGCTGGGAGGCTGAGCAGGAATGGGAAGGGGAGGTCGAGTGCTCAGAGCGCGGACAAAGCCAAAGAACCCCTTGTCGCGCCCAGGTCCCCACGCCCTCCCTCCCCCGGCCACAGAAAGCGCCTCAGTGACCAAGACTCCGAGATCCGGCTCGGTCTGCGTTGCAGTGGACGGACCCAGAGGCTTGGAGCGCGAAACGAAACGCGCTAAATTGTACCTGTGCGTGGCCGTTCCCGCCGCCGCCGCAGGTCTATCCCGGGCCCGAAGCCGGCGCCCGCCTTCTCAGGGAATTCTCTGGAGGGGGAGTGCGAGGGGAACCACAGTGGCTGCCGGCTAGCTCACGGCTGGCGCGCACACACACACGCCCAACTTTGCCAAGCCGTCGGCGCCCCCCGGGCTCCCCCGCGCCCCCTGCGGCTCGACACACTCGGAGACTTGTATCTCCTGTGGTCTGAGATAAGGTTCCCCCAACTCTCACACCCTCGCGTGTGGAGCAGAGGGCGGGGTGAGGGAGAGAAGAGGGTTAAAGCTACTGACTCCCTGGCCAGCCTTTCTCAAACACTCGACACCCGCAGAGACGCCCGCGCTAGCCCCGCCACACCAGGTCCCCCAGACCTGCCAGTGACGACAGAGAGAGGAGGAGGAGGAGAAGGCCGGGCGAAGACCCGGGAGCCTAGGAGCCCCGGAGCCCAGGAGCCCTAGCGATGGACGGTTCCATCGGCTGACCACCATTATCAGCACTTTTATTACTGGGGGGGCTGGGTAGGGAGCTTTGGGGTGTGCAGCAGAGCTACTCAGCCCCAATGCACTCTGGAGCGACCATAAATTAGGGGCAGAGAGATTCTCCACGGACACCTTTTGAGTGGACGTGCTCCAGACGCACACCCGGACCCTGTGGTCCCGCCAAAGCTGCAGTGTTGGGGGGTATTTTAAATGGCTCTTACTTGGGAGGAGGCGTGATTTCCACGTTCGAGCGTCTTCGCTCCCCACCCCCTCTCGGCACCAGCCAGTGCGCGCCACCACCTGAGCCTGGCGAGAGCCGGGGCGCACGCAGTCTTCAGCCAGCTCCTTTCCGCCTCTGGGGAGACTTGGCTCTCAGCGGGTCCGCCCGACGCCCCCCCACCTCCCTGGGAGAACTCTTTACTTTTTGTTTGGAAAATCGGGGCCATTTCTTTATTTATCTCTGGGTCTCCCAGGAGTAGGACAGGGGAGGGGAGCGCGAGCTCGGCGGGCCGGGACGGGGGAGGGGAGCGCGGGGAGGGGAGGGGACTGGGTGTAGCCTGGAATTCTCCGTCCTCGTGTTCCTGGGCTGGCGCGCAGAGTCTCCTGGCGATAGCGCCGCCGCCACCGCCGCCGCCGCCGCCGCCGCCGCCGCCCGAGCCCGCGCCGAGCGTGCGCCTCGCCCTCCTCCCGCGCCCGCTCTGCTCTAGGATGCTGCGGCAGGTTCTGCACAGGGGCTTGAGGACGTGTTTCTCCCGGCTCGGCCACTTCATTGCCAGTCACCCGGTCTTCTTCGCCTCGGCGCCGGTGCTCATCTCCATCCTGCTCGGCGCCAGCTTCAGCCGCTACCAGGTCGAGGAGAGCGTGGAGCACCTGCTGGCGCCCCAGCACAGCCTGGCCAAGATCGAGCGCAACCTCGTCAACAGCCTCTTCCCGGTCAACCGCTCCAAGCACCGGCTCTACTCGGACCTGCAGACCCCTGGGCGCTACGGCCGGGTCATCGTCACCTCCTTCCAGAAAGCCAACATGCTGGACCAGCATCACACCGACCTGATCTTAAAGGTGAGATGGGGGGGGCGGGTGCCGGCAGCCTCCGCCGGCTCAGCGGCCGCGGCTGGGCTGGCTCTGCGCTGGGGTCCCAGCTGAGAGCGCCACCTCTCCTATCCCGGGCGGTTGCCGCAGGGGCTCCCCTGCACCGCGCGCCCCAAGGCGGTCGAGCGGAGCCTCCCAGACTCCTGAGAAGGGAGCGTCCGGTCCGGGTCCGGCCCAGCCGTGGCCCTGTCCGCGTCGCCTCCGCCGCCACCCCGCAGTTGCTGCAACAGTTGGGGCGGCGGCGGCGGCCACGGTGCCGTGGTCGGTGCGCTTGTTTTGGTCACAGTGGGCCTGGGGGCGGGGAGGCTTTGGGTAACTGGGCCAGGAAGGAGCAGAACAAGAGAAGACATTCTAGCCAGTCCTGGTACTTGAGAACAAAATACTATGCTTGGAGGGGATCCTGAGATACCCCTCCCTGTCCCCAATTTTTTTTTCTCCCTTCCTCTGGCCCCCGGAGTGTTTGGGGAAAGGCTGCTGGGGCGGGTGGAGGTTGGAGGCTGAAGAAGAATGTGAGGCGAAATGGTGAGGAAAATGCCTCCCACCCAACCGGAAAGAAGTGTGGCCCGTGGCGAAGACAGGGGGCTGTCCTGCTGCCCTGTTCCCCCGAGCGAGAGAGCAATCTCTGCCTTCTCGGGTAGGAAATTATGTCTGTAATTCGCAGTTATTTCATCTTTCACAGTAGCTCCTCTCCTCTGAAATACAAAAACTTTGGGAAAAGAGGGAACTGATCCACTTTTATTTAGGTGCATTTGAGAGTGGGGGTGAGGGGAAGAGCCAGAGAGTGAGAACAGAAGCCATGCTGTATGGCCCTGAGAAGAGCACAGGAAACAGCGCAGCTAGTTAAGAGAAGCCGGTTGTGCCTCCAGCTGCCGCAGCGGGAGGTGGGAATTTGTTGTGAAAAGTGAGGTTAATGGTGGTAACTTTCGGGAAGTTCCTAAGAAAAGCAGAGGAGTGAGGACTAGAGATGGAAAAGTGGAGATCCCAGCAGAGAAAAGTAAAAATAGGTGAGAATGTTCCGTCTGAACCCCCGTGGGGATTGTGGGGTATGTTTACTTAATGTTCTCTTTTGGGGAGGGCAGGCGGAACCAGCCCCAGCTGGGACCCTGGGGCAGAGGCATGGACGGTGCTGGTTTTGTGTGGGTCTCTGTCCGGATCTGGGAATAGAGGACAGTTAGATTTCTAGCGTACTTATCCCAAGGGGAAGCTACCAGTGAACGTGGGGAACACTTTCCTCTTCTTTTCCTCTACAGGTAACAGTTTATCCCTAGAGACAAGCTAATTTGCCTCTATTATTTCCCTCCCTCTGTTTGTTGACATGTTATCAATCAGCAATTAGTAATGAGGGGAATCTGACTAGGGAATCACTGGAAATAGGACCTTTTTACATTGAGTGGCTCATGATATTTTTAATGGCATACAAATCATCACGCATTCACTTATCGCAGAACCTTGGTAACGTTAATCCTGAGATGTTTGCTTTTCTAATAATTATACTTCCAACATCAGAGTGGTTTTTTTCAATACTTCAGTGACCATATTTTGACACACAGATAAACTGCTCCAAATGCTTTCCCAAGAAAACATGTAGTAGATTCATCACGGGCTTAAGGAAACTATAATTTAGCCAGTCCTGACAGTTGGAAATGCCCCATCTTTTGATGAATGATCTACCAAATGATATTTCTCTTTGTATTTTTTTTCAAAGTGATGTTTCCACTGGCTTTTTCCCCCCTAACAAACCATCAAGCCACTGTGACAGGCAGTCACCAGTTACATTCACTCTCAAGGTTAATGAGACATCAACAGGCACATACATCAGATCTCTTTTCAACTGGGTTCCATTTCCCCTATTTGATTTTGATCAGTTCAGGACAGAAAATACTATTATAGGTAAAGGTTGGAACTGGAGACAGAGGCTGGGTTTGCCTCTGTGCCTAAAGGGCAACTTTAAAGGACAGTGGTTGAATCAGTGGGTTCTTTTAAGAAACGGGATGGTTTTTCATGTTCTAGGTGTCTGGGTAAAATCAAAACCAAGCCTAATAGTGGTCCAAACTCATTTGTAGCTGATGACTCTGGTCAAATGAGTTCATACAGCTTATAAAAACCTTAACTTACGAAACCAGGGAAATTGCCTTTCATTTTAAATTACATATCCATTTTTTCTTCCTTCATCCATCCCTTATTTTTGGTAGGTATAGAGCCTGGGGACAGGAAAATGGACCTTCAGTAGTCATGGTAATGTAAAGTGTGGGAGTGATCACATCATTTTTTTTTTCCATTTAAAGACATGATGACTTGTCCTTTACAAAAGGTGTCAGGAGTGAAAGAGTCACTGTTACTGCCGTTACTAGTGTTATTCTGATACTTCATTACTGGCATCAAGGATAGCACTGACAGTTAACACTGTACACAACACCAAACAGTCCCTGCCTTTTTTATGGCATGGCATTTGAAGTGAAGTGGACAGAGCATAAGCAGAGTTTGAGGTTTTCTGAGGCCCCACTACAAAACTGGAGGAAGTAACTTGTCGGGCTATGTAGGGTGCTGCTTCAAGCATGAAGAATAGACCCATTCTTTCCTTATACTGTTTTGGGGTTGTACCTGTTTAGTAAAGGAGATCCTTCTTGGGATATTAGTCCAGCTACTTGCTGACCAAAAATAAACCAGGAAGGAGGGGTGATGACAAAAAATGAAAAACCAGTTTGACTTTTTAAAAATGTAATTGAGAGTATTACAGAAAAAAAAAATTATGTTTGAAAATCCAGCTGACCCGGTTTGGAGGAGCTTTCTCAAATTTGTGCAAGTGATGTGATTACAATACTCTGTAGTGCAGAATTTGACCCCACACTACAAGGGAATGACTTTCCCTAGCAGTGGTTGGTTTCCTCTGGAGGCTACAGGGCAAAGATGTAATTTTAAGCAAAAGTGGGTGGGACCTAATGGTGGTAAGGGCTCAACCATTAATTTCTGAACCTCTTTAAATAAATGCTGCTCTTCAAAAGTCTTCATTTCGCTAGGAAATTAAATTTAGCTCATTATATCTTTTAACAGAAAATCTATGATGTTCATCTCAGAGCAAATTTGAAAGTAAGGCCTCACAAGCTTTTATAGATATGTTTCTTTTCTTCTTTGTGAACACCCAAAATGAAGTGTAAGAAGTGTAATTGATCCAGGCTGTGACCAAAACAATACTTGATTTGTTCCAGTATCATCTGTGTAGAGTGAAGAATCAGTATAGCCCAGTCCTTAAGATAATGATATCAACTTTATGGTACTTTATAAGTCAAAAAATACAGTATGTTTAAATACAATAAACTGGGAAAAGTACTGTTATTCCATTTTATTGATGGGAAGACTGCTCCTTAGAAGTTTACTGACTTGTCCGTGGAAAAAAGACAAGGACAGAACCAGAACTGGGACCCAGGATTTTGGATTCTAAGTCCAGTGCCCTATAATTGACTTTCATATGATAAACTACTTGAAAGATTTAAAATGTAAATTTTTTTATCCAAACGAATTATACTTGACCAAAGTCCCATCCCATACCGTTGTTCTAACAGTGGTAATTGGATCATAAGGACATTTTCTTGACTGATTCTGTCTGGTGTCAATTAAAATCCACATATAGAAACTCCAAATGCCAAAAGTAAACCATAAGATATTTGTAATTAGCAATATACAAAGACACAAGATTTTACTGGAAAAATCTCTGGATGGTTGAGGGTAACTGCTTCCTGTTTGAGTGCTATTCATTGGCAGGGTGCAGGTGGATTCAACTCTACTGCCTCACGCAGTCCATGGCACATAGTAGCTGCTCAAAAATTACTTGTTGAATGGACCGACCCTAGTTTACTCAGACATTTATGTGATGGGTAAGGAAAATTCCATAGAAACTACTTTGAAATGTATTTTTTAATAACATTTTTATTTTTACAACTTTACCAGCAGTTTCTAGGCTTCTTTTGTGCAAGATACTATTCTTCCATCCTTGATAACCTCTGTGGTCATAGCAAAGCATATCTCAGTTTTAAAATTGGGTAGGGGCACTTCCTTTATACAACATCTACTTCTTCAAAGGAAATTCAGGATGTTTTATTCCAAACCAAGGAAAGGACGTGTCCTCACTAAGCAAACCTTCTTCCATTTACTAGGGAATGTCATTTTGTTCAAATATTGAGTCCATTTTATTTAAACCTTTTTATGTTTAAATACATTAAGTAGAATTAAGTTGTGGCTGGGCACTGTGGCTCACGCCTGTCTGTAATCCCAACACTTTAGGAGGCCAAGGTGAGAGGATTGCTTGAGGCCAGGAGTTCGAGACCAGCCTAAGCAAGAGCAAGACCCTGTCTCTACAAAAAGTAGAAAAATTAGCTGGGTGTGGTATAGCCCTAGCTACTCGGAAGGCTGAGGCAGGAGAATGGCTTGAGCCCAGGAGCTGGAGGTTGCTATGAACTATGGTGCTTACTGTACTCTAGCCCAGGTGACTAGAGGGAGACCCTGTCTCAAAAAAAAAGAATCAAGTTGCAAAAAAGATGAATAAAATCTAACTTGGAGTTATTTACTTCAGGTTTTCCAAGAAGAGCAGCATAACTGCTAGCTCAGGATCACAAGGACCCGATAGCTGGATCAAGATCCCAGTTTTTCCAAATACTGTCTCAACACTTTGAATCATTACAGGAATCACCATCATTTCTTCCTCTACAATCTAAGATAAGCAAATTCCAGCCTATTTTTGAGCTTAGAGTGTGTTTGTACATTTTTAAAAGATTGTCAACAAAATAAAACAAAAACCAAGAAGACTATGCAGCAGAGACTATATGTGGCTTACAAAGCCTAAAATATTTACTGTTCTTTACATTAAAAGTTCCTATGTTGTATTCCAAAATTGAATTATTAGAGCAATTTTTAGAAAGTTAATACTGTAAGGCAGTAGGTCTCAACCGGGGGTGACTATGTCCCCCAAGAAACAT